CACACACACACACACACACACACACACACACACACACACACACACACTGGCTGGCACTCATTAAGCAAACGGTCCAAATTGAAAATGTCCCATCGAAATGTTAAGCAAAATGTTGTTGTCCGGTGTGTCCCACTCTCTGCAAAGCATTAAAACAATAATAATGTGAGCATTTCTTTTCCCTTTCTCCCTCTTGTTCTGTCACAGCCATAAAATGTCCAGTGAGTGTCCTTTTATTTAGTTATTGTTTTTGTGACGTGCAAAAATCTCTTCTACCAAATACTTGGTACACAATAAACTCGGACAATAGCAATAAGATTTCTCTATTTCAACAGAGCAGAGTGTGTTTCCAAAGGAAAACAGCACACAACGAGCGAATGAGCGAACGAGTGTGAGAGAGAAAACAATTGTATCCACATTCCAGGTACGGTGCAATTTTCGAAATGGCACAAAACACAAAACAAACACACAAAGCGAATACCGGCTATGAACAAATACAACTAGCCAGACAACCGATGCATTTTCCTAGACAAAATATGCTCGAAGCATTTCAAAATACATATGAGTTGAGACTAGAGTAAGAGCAAAAATTTACGTTACCATTTTTTTTCTTCATCTTCAACGGAAAAAAAAATCCATACGGATTACGGCTGGTGCAGAGGACCGTTTACAAACACTGCACGTTGATTTGTTGTTCAATTAGAACAACAACAACATCGACATTTGCGCTTGATAGTTTTGTTTGATCGCCAATCTCTTGTTGGCTATTCAATGGGGCGATCTAAATATAAAGTCCTGTTCAAGTCGATTTCAATTTTTTTTTTTTCGTGTATGCCAAAGTATCCACTCTCTCACGGCTTTACTGTCTCTCTTTCTCTCGTCCAAAACAAAACTCGAATGGTTATTTGGTTTGTAATTGTAATTCATACACAACATTCACTTGACACTTAGCATCAAGAGATTTACTCTTGCTCTATCTAACTAACTCGAGCAATCGACGAGAAGAAAGAAATCGTTTTCCTCTCCAATGAATCATTTACAACACTCGATTTCCATGTGTGTCTGAACACAATTTCTATAACTCTCTTTTATTTCAACTGCACCAATCAAACATCCATGGAAAATCTTTCATCTCAAGTGTTTTTTTTTCTTTTCTCGTCTGTACGATCGTCTATTTATGCTTGAATCGTATTATTATTCATTTTAGAATCACAACGTATATTTTCTTAGATTGTTGTTGTTGCTGTTTTGTTTCAATTGCGTTTGATCTAATACAAAAAAAAAATTCCGTCTTTTAATTCACTACATTTATTCAGTTTAATGCAATTTAAACGATTTAATTGATGGGCAATTTTTTTGTTCGCTTTTCGCGATTTTAGTTTTGACGTTTTCGAAATTAATGTAAAACTTCTTAATGGAATTATTGGGAGAGAGGAAAATAAATGCCGCAAACCGAGTATAATATACACACGCACACGTCGTCGGCCACACAGCCTCACATCACGGTCAACAATCAACTGAGCTGTGAGCTTGTCGGTTTATTCGACTAAGCCGTGCACATATTTCTTCTTTATTTCTGTTTTGATGCCATTTCGCTTCGGTTTGACTAACAAAATAGATACAACAAATCTTTAGCGGTATCGAATTGGGTTGGTTCAGTTGTGTGTAACGATGATCATTGACTTGTAGAGGGTTTTTGGTCATTTTTACGGCTGATTTAATTTGAAACATGATTCAATGAAATTCAAACATCAAAATTGTTACTACAATTTTCTTTTTCTCTGTGTCTAGTAGACACTGTCTGCTAATTTGATGGTGAAACTCATTTAATTTCAACGATTTTCGATGGCTCAGCACAAGCCACACCAATAGTCAAACAGAATGTTCGTTGCCCCAAAAGTTCCGGTTTGTTTTGTTGTCAGAATGCGTTTTCCATACTCTCGCACATACACACACAGAGAGACACACACACACTTATGAGCGAGAATGAGCATACGCGGACGACGGACGTGTGCGTTCATAAGTGTGTGATGGAGTGTGTAGGGAATACGTCAATATGGCCAGACAAGTTAAACTCTCGTACATTAAACTATCCCACATGCGTATCCATTGTGTATATGTGTATCGTAGTAATGCATATATGTATATTGTATATACACAACCGATGTTCGGGCTCGTTAGAATACAAATGCACACACACTCACATACAAACACTCACACGCATACGGTCGCGAGCACAGCAAAAGTGACACATACACAACGATGTGCATCGCAGCGGGTTATCGAAATATACGTACGACGTGCCCGTAACTTTCCCGAATCAAAAAAAAAAAAAAATAAAATCGAATCGTATATGATTGCTATGAAATATGCTATAGGTTAGGTAGTTCGGTCTCTTTCGCACTGCCATTGAGTATTGTCATTTTTATTTCTTTATTTAGTGTCGCGACTAATTTCTCCTGTGTTCGGCTCTCTCATCTTTGGATTTGAGCCGTAATATTGTTGTTGGTGTTTTTGTTGCTGTCGAAACGTCACTTCAATCTGTTGTCGTTGCATTTCAAATGCGGGTGCATAGCATTCACTCGCCGACCATGTCTGATTATTCTCGATTTTTGCTGTTGCTGTTGTTGTTTCTGAAGAAGATTGAGCATTTGTGGCTGCAAATGCAAAACATTCGATGTTTGACGTTTGCTGCTGCTGCTGCTGTTGCTGTTAAATCTTGTCAATTGATGGGCATTTTGGGGAAAATTCATGCTTCAATCCATTTACGTTATGTACTCGAAACTGGAATGTTGCACTTTATGCTCAACTGCTCTTTTTGGTTCATTGGTGTTTTCGTTCCACCCGAAAATTCGATTCAATTCAAACCCAACATCGTCTCAAATATTATCAATTCAATAGAGAGCGAGAGCGAGAGAGAGAGAGAGAGAGAGAGAGAGAAAGAGCAGTAAGTGTTGCTTCTTTACTTAAGCGACATGGTTTTTGCGGACCAAAATGCTCTTATTCCGACTGCGAGACACAATCATACTCTCAAACTCACACACACACTCCGACTATACTCACTTATTCGATTACAACAATGATTTTGCAAAATCGAATTTTCGCATGAAGCGAGTGCGAAATAGCACTTAGTAGCTAACCGAAACAAAATCAAACTATTTACTTGCTAATGGATATTTCACAAGCGGTACAACAACAATAGGCAAATATACACACATACCTGCATTGAAATCGTTACACTTCAACGCCTTTGGCTTTCATCGCAGCGCGCTCCTGGATAAAAAAAAATTGGGAGAGAAAAAGGGATTTAGAAAAAGTATAAGTAATTGAGAAAAGAAGAGAATTTTCCGATTTAATTTTATGAGTTTTGCTTTGACTCTAATTTAGCTTATTACAAATGGGAGAGTGATTTTTGTTGCGAAAATCAAGTATGTGCGAATGTGAGTGTTCGGTTCATCATCAGTTGGCAAATTAAGCAGTGGTGTGCATGTCACATCTTTCAACGGCACATCCTTGAGCGAGAGAATGAGAAATCATAATAATGAAAACACCGCCACACCAAATCGTTTCGGTTGCGTTCTTGATTTTCTGCTGCATTTCAATATCCATCTTGTGTACGTCTATTACAATATAATATAACGCCTCGGCTTGTTGAATGATAAACAGAGCATACGATTGTAATATGTGTTGAACTATAAATTCAGACTCGTGTCAGACACATGTTTGGAAGAGGGCATTGGAAAGAAGATGTATCGCATTTATTTTTGGCGTTGAAAAGCGGAAATTGAAATGATATAGTGTGTACGAATGCTGCCACTGCTGCTTGTCCTGGCTGCACATGTCTCATTCTCATTCAGATCAATTCATTTACATTTTTCTTCGTCGGTTTTTGTTCTATTCGACGAAGGGTGCGTAACGCACAATGCTATTCACACATTTCAAGTGAATAATAACAAATGACATTTATTAAACCAGAACGAAAGCCGAATCACGAATCCACACACTGCGTTCAAATTGAGAAATAAGATTGGTCGGAATGAACGAAAACCGAAAATAAAGGTATTAATTTCCTTGAATTAGGGTTACCACGCTGAAAATATAGTTAAATTCAACGAAATGATCGCAAATACAAGCACAAGCACACACGCAGCATTCAACAGTCAGACAGATATTGATTGTTGTTTTATTTTCGAAAATTGAATGCGGTCGATGTGACAGCTTCATTTGCTTTCAACTGGCTTTGACTTTGTTGTCATCATCGACGTTGTCGGTAAATTTCTGTTGCTGAAACGATTTCTATTTTTCTCCTCCGCCATCGTTTCAAAGTCTTGTTGTCATCGACCATTTGTAATAGTTTTTTTTTTAATTTATAACCGAAATGCGCACTGAAAATTCAATTCGAATTGCATCGGTCAAGCAGAAAACGGTGACGACGACCACAACGATGGCGAAGAATAAAAGAAAAACCCATAACTGATTACTAGTTAATGAATTCATTTATGCGGAATATTTTGCCTTTTTCTATTTCTATTTCGCGCGTGACCATAAAAATAAATGTCGTTCAAAGCGCGCGCGCGTGATTGGCACACAGTTATTTATTTAATTGTTTTGTTGTTTGTCATATGCGCTTTTCGGGTGGTTGAATGTTGCAGCTTCGTTGTAGTCGTCTTTGCCGTGTAAAACGATATTACTTGTACACTAATCGTAAAACTCTTTCAATATTATATATATATTGATTGAAATTGAAATGGGTTTTATGTCAGTGCGGCTCGAATGCGCGAATCGGTTGTTGTTGCTGTTGTCGTTTTTGCCTTTCTTTCGTGTGCATTGTTGTTTTTGCTACGGTCAAAGCGGTGGTATAGATGGTATGGGGTTATGCACAAACATGATTTGTTGTTGTTTAAGAGCACAAACCTGTGGCCCAACTATCCACAATTGAATTGATTCTTTAAGGGTTTCGCTTACATTTTTTCGCTCATAAAAACTGGCGCACTCACACACACACACACACAACAACACAAAACAATGCATCGAGCTCGGTCGGCAGGCATGCAGTAATCCAAGTCGAAACGTGAGTCGGCTGCTGCTGCTGTGTTTACAGTCGCGTAAGTAGCAAAAAAAAGAAGAAAAGAAAAAAATGGTGCAAAACAAACAAACAGACGTGGATGTGTGGTTATCATGCCCTGAGCACAATTACATACACGTTGTCTAATGAAGTTCGTACAAGTAAGACGCAACGATGTTTAACATAAATTCCGACCATTTAATGTATCAGTATCATCATAGTACGTTTGACGATGTTTTATGACGCTAAAAATGAGATTGTCAATACATCAATTGGCCTAAGCATAAAATACACAAGGGAAACAACGAAGGAAAAGCACACTCACTCGCACACGACATATGAGAGAAAATGCATAAACGACCGGCACAGCACACACAGCAACGAAAAATGAGACCGATTCGCAATGTAAACGCTTGCACTAAATGACCACAACAGCTTGGATTACCTCCACCGAATAGCACTCGGTGTGAAAATTCATTTAAAATGAAAACGTGCTGTTACGCGATGCACTCACTGTAATAATGAACAATGCACTTTGGATGTCGTATCGTTAACGCCGCGGTCGTCGTCGTACTCGTTGCATGTTTTGCGTAGTGTTTTGCATGTGCTTTTCACAGCCGTCGATGCTGCAAATTGTAAGCGAGAGAATGCTCGAATGTCTGTAATAGCCGTAATAAAGGCAACATTTTATAGTCTTTGGGCCTCAATGTGAATTGTTATTGTTTATTTGCATTTTATTTGTTTATTTTACTCATTTTTTTTTCTACTTGCACTCTAGCTCACTCTCTTTGCTTTCGATTTCTCGCTCTCACTCGCACTTTTGCTCTTCATCTCTCTTTCAAAAGCTCTTCAAACTTAAATTAAGAAAGAAAAAAATGAAATAACTCTATTGCACTCGAGATCTCTATTTTAACGCATATCCAATCGTATTTGCTATTGTAGCTATATTTAAAACCGTTTTCCGCAATTTATTCAAATTACTTTCCTGTTACACATTTATTATTTTTCTTCAACAGTTTTCTCAAACTCATTTTTTCTCTCTTTCTTTTGCTCGCTTACTCGCTCTCCGTGTCTCTGGGTATGCTGATGTTGGTGCAAACGGTTGCAAGCCATTCGAAACCAACGGCTGGCTGATTGTTAAAGATTTATTTTTGCCCCGGATGAAATGACATGAAAACAAAACTGAAAATTGATTTTGTATTTTTTTTATGTCTTGTTGTGAAGAAGAAGAGTGAAACAAAAAATTTCGTTTGAGAGAATGATTAATTCTCTTATGCACTCTTACATTGCCTTGTTCACCACTCGACATTTGAGGAGAGAGAGAAAAAAATGCAACTAACAAAACATTACAAATAATTGCGAATGTCGTCATCATCTGACTTATTCATCGTTTGCAGTAAACGAGGAAAAAAAAATTGCCTGTTTTTAAAGCGATTGTAATTTTGTTTTCCAACGCTGCTGCTCATTTTGCTTACAGTCAAACACCAATTGATCAAAAACACTACCATTTATTGGAATTTAATGTATATTATTCCGAGAAATGAGCCTGGAATATACGCATTTATTTTTTATGATTTCATTTGAAATGAAGTCGAAGCGAACACAAAGCCGTCACTCCATGATTTAAACATACAAAGTTTTTGTTTTGCTTCTTCTGTTGCTCCAGTCAATTTTATGGGGTTTTAAACTGTAGCCGTTACAACATGGCAAACGCGATATTGATGTAAGCACTCGAGTGCATAGAAAGAGAGAGAGAGAGACATAAATCGAAGTAATGCGTCTACTTGCCACATTCGTTCGAAATGACATAATATACAATGTAAACTGTATAAATTGTTCATTTTTTTGTCTGATTTCAAACACGAATTCATTCAATTCAACGATTTAATCATCATTTTGTTCTTGTCCAAAGGAACAGCAATGGACTAGAGAGAATTGACAAGGAGTTAATAGACAGAGAATGTGGTAAAGTGTTTTAGGAAGGAAACGTTTGTCAATTCGTGTTTATTAAATTAGATATTTTGTGACCGAGATGTGAGTGACCGGAAATTGCACATAAAGTCTACCATTGGTGCATACCAAATCAACGTGTGTTCCTTCAATTGACCATTTCAAGTGGCTATGCATAGCTATGTCGCCATCACTATCATTTCAATTATTCATTCGAGCAGCTCCATAAAGGATAGAATTTGCAGTTGGTTCTCTATTTTCAAATAAAAATGACTCCCCAGAGTCTCAACCTGAATTTGTATTCAGGCACGTTCAGAAATATACAAACTTTTATAGACTTTGTGTTTTGTATTTTTTATTCTCTCTCCTATTTTCTCAACATGTTTAACCGAAAAATGTTTCGATATGTGTTTTTTCTTCAGATTTTTTTCTTCTCTTTTACGGATACGAATGACAATAATTCGATTTGCTTGTTTGTTGAACCTCAAAATATAGTTTCATACAAATGAAATGTATTTTACTCCCCTTTTTTTCGTGTGATTGGTTTAAAACGAGCAGTAATTTGGAATTTCAAACTAAATATTTGCGTTAATTCGATTCGTATTCGGCATGTAGAAAGTGAATCGGCAACTTTATGAATGTAACTCATTGGCATTGCTCATAATTCAAAAACTCCTTTACCGTTCAAATATCTTTCATTTGGCTTCAAATTATGCATAAATCCATGGGAACGTTTGAAAAAGTTTTCAGTTGCAGCTTTCCTGGCAATTATGTATTTTGTCACCAATGAATCATTTTCCAGCATGGTTTATGTATATTTATCGTGTGCATGTAATTGAGTTTTAGCTTACTGCTGAGGAAGCAAACACAAACAGTCGGAAAAACAAGCTGCAATCAATATCCGCTGTCAAAGTTTATCAGTGAAGATACTCATTTTGTGTTTATTTAATGCTTGCTTGCGATATCATTTGTATAAGGAAAAGAAACTATCATTTGTCGATATCATCAATCTTACGCGTGGGATGATCTCTCTCTCTCTCTCTCTCTCTCTCTCTCTCTCGCTTGAAGTTTAATTCCATTCAAAGTTAGTAGAAGACACAAAAATCGGTTTGAAACAGACAAACTGGCGTAAGAAAAGCGGAACAGGGAAATAAGAAAGAAACAAAAAAGAGACAGAGAGAGCGCTATGGCAACGCAGGGACAATGTTTCGAAAAATCTAATACTCGATACAAAAAAAAACAAAAGAAACCGAAAAGA